GAAAACAAGATTTTGGGGGATTTGGTGTAAGGTTCTAGAAAGTTCATTTGAGAAGAGGGACCGTGGGCTGACACAGCTCTCTTTCCTGTGTTTTCTCAGGCCATGCAGCTCTGTAGACAATCTCATTACCTCACATAATTTTGTGAGTAGAGGTTATTTTTTGGTTTAAGCCAGATTGGAATCATTTTCTGGCCCTTCCACTAAGAGTTCTTAACTAATAATACTCCTTTGTGTTTTGCCCCTCTTACTTCTGATATCTTTTCTCCAGTCTTTTGTGCTTTTTTCTGCCTCCAATCCATCCTCCATAAATGTCTGTCTAAAACATAGATGGTTCCTGCCGGAGACCCTTTAATGGCTTTCAGGCCCTGTAGGATGGAGTCTAGGTGTTTTATCACAGGCCTTTGAAAGTCTGGTCCTTCAAGATCTGACCCACATTCACCTTTTTGTTCTGCCTTCTACTATTCAGCAGCATGGAATTTCTTACAGCTCCCCTGCCAGCACTTAGACATTGCTGAAAGCTGCTCGTTGAGTTGTCAGGAATATTGCCCCATCACATCCCTTTTGTATTGCCTGTCCCCTTGATCAGCCTTAAGTATAATAGAGAAAATATGAAATTTTTAAACTCAGATTATAGGTAAATATTAACATTTAAGATACAAGAAATCCAAAAGCCCTCAGTGCAGGAGCAAAGAGAGCTTTGTTTGAAGCAAAATAGTTGAGTGTGGCTTATGCATGTTCTATGCATTTACCTTAGTAAGATGTTCTGCTATGTATTTAAAAAAAAGTAAGGCTATTCACTGTACTGAAAATTATAGATGTTACATAAAAAGTTGAAGCAGCTACTGTGGTGACCACTGACCACCTCCCTGCCCTGGGAGAGAGCTTCCCCCTTCAGAGTGCTCTGCTGGCAGCTGGGATCCGGTAAACTTCTTACAGGTTTCAGGGATAGAGCCAGCAGGGCAATCAATAAAGAGAACCAAGAGGGCGATCTTCAGCATAGCGAAGGGGGAATGAAGCTGCTGGCATCCAAAATAGCATGACACACACAGATAGAAATTGAAGGGACAGTTTTTTGGTATTCAAAAGTAAACATGGTGCATGGTTACTGAAGTAACCCCTTAAAAAAGGAAAGGAAGGAAGAAACAAAAGGATGCTGTGTAGTCACCTCTAAAGGACACTGAAGGTCTTTCTGTCTGTCTGTCTTTCTGTTTCTCTGTTGTTGCTGCTGCTCTGAGACAGTGTCTTGTTATGTGTTCCAGGCTGGCCTTGAACTCACTGTGTAGTTCCAGCTAGTCTCCAACTCACAGCGATCCTTCTGCGTCAGTCTCCCAAGTGCTGGGATGACAGGCATGCCCCCGCCACATCTGGCTCGACATGGTCTTTAAAGCTGCAACACACATCAACAATTTTTGTGTCTTCTCGTACAACACACAGTTCAGGGCACCCACGGAGGTCGAGTTAACTCCTCTCCACAGTTTTTGTGCTCTCCAGGCTGGGTCCCAAGGCACCGCCTCAGAGCCTCAGTGAAACTGTGCAAGGGCTGGGGTTGCGCCTGGCAAGGCCCTGGGTCCATCCCCACTGCCACAGAAATCAAAACCAAAAAAAAAAATGGGTACAAGTTCCATGGGTCTGAGGGGCCACCACCTTTTACTGATAGATATTCTGGCAGTTTCAGCACCTTTTAAATTCGCAGTCTGGAAAGTGGAGTCGCTAGCTAAGGAAGTTTAATAGCTCTGCAAAAAGAAAGTATGCATTATCTTATTTTAAAAATTATGCTTTATTCATCTCCCTTCACAATAAAAAGATAGAAAGACGGTTTTACGCTAGGATTTATGCCATTCCTAAATAAAAATCATACATTTCCACATTAATTTATTGGGGAAAGGACCAGGGTAGATGCCAGCAAGCGACTGTGCCATGCTGCCCGTGTCTTCACTATTCTCGCTGCTTCTTTTTCCCTGTGATTTCTTTTGCATTTCTACTATCGTTAATGTTCTCTGATGCAGCGGATGTGAAACCCTGAAGAAAATCCTCTCGTTCTTCTGCACAGGTGTCACTTTATCCACATCTTAAACTGCATGTCAGTCACCAGTGATGAAAGTGTGAGTGAAAGAGGCATCTCCCAAACATCATAGCGCTTACCAGTGTCTAGGTGCTTTGGAGCGCTACAAGCAGGAAGACGTAAAGGGAAAACAGTTCCCCATTAACTCCTCCCTTTCTCTCCTCCCTTTTCCTCCTTCAGGGCCAGGGTGATCTTTCCATTATCTGATGCAGGATTACTTCAGGCGTGTTTCCTCCTCCTGGTACACTGTTATAATAGCTTCCGTTACCCTTCCAATCCATCAGACTCATTCTTGGCTGAGAACTTTGAAAAACACAAAACTCACCTCATTCTTCTTTTTTTTTGTCTTTTTGAGACAGGGTCTCGCTATGCAGTTCAGCTGGCCTTGAGCTCACTTTGTAGCCTAGGCTGGTCTCAAACTTGCAACAGTCTTCTGCCTCAGCCTTCCGAGTACTGGGATTACAGGCGTGTGCCACCACACCCGGCCTCACCTCATTCTTCTTGAGCACACAAGACCTCACATCGCCCTGAGTTCTTGTTGTTTGTTTGTTTGTTGTTTTGAGCAGGTTCTTGCCATGTAGATCAGGCTGGGCTTGAACACGCTGTGTAGCCCAGGATGGCCCTGAGCTTGTGGCGATCTTCCTGCTGGCAAGGTAGACTTTGCTTGACTAAGTGAAGGGGAGGGAGCACCTTCACAGTTCATTCCCTTTCTCATAATCATCTCTCAGATCCCCTGAGAGATGCAGCAACCCTCCACATTGACCAGGAGGGAGCTGCTCCAGGTGCGAAGGTACTGAGCAGAGAGCTGCAGTAGGACGCCAAGCCCCCGCAAGGCAGAAAGGTGCATGCTTCTCATCCCAGGCAAGTTCTAGCATACGCAGTTTTCTTCTAAAGGGGCGGGCAACACCACTATTTGCAGAAATAACCGTGAACAATGATTCATTATAAGAAATTAAGCAAATTTAATTTTTGCAAAACCGTAAAATATACTTACAACTTTCCTTATAGCTTTATTTTTTGATTTATTCTTGGTGAAAAAGAAATTTGCTGTCAAACAGGTATTTGTAAGTAGAATTTTTTCTTGTGTTTACACCCGATAACTGCGCTTACACTTCCAATTTATTGCCATGGTTCCTCATGGAGCCTAAAGTACTCTCCAGTCATTCGCTACTTTATGATAAAATGCCTTTAAACTGCTGGTTTTTATCGACATAAAAAAAATACTGAGCCTAGAGCCTTCACACTGAGCTACATCTCAACCTTTTTCACTTTTCTTTTTTGAGAGAATGTTTCACTAAGTCGGTCAGGCTATAATCAAATTTATGATCCTCCTGCCTCAGCCTCTTGAGTAACTGGGATTACAGGTATGGGCCACCACTTTCAGCTAAAAATATCTTCTTACTCATTAAGAATTTGTTAAAAGCATGGTCCAGCCTTAATGTTTGCCAGTTTTGTGGTTGATAGGGTGATTCTGTTGCACTTGATAGGTTGATTCTGTTTGTTTTTAGAAGCAACTTTTGAGTTAAAATCAGTGCCTGTTGCATAGAATTGCTTTTGCGTATCTTGGATGCAGTAGTCTTACTGAATGCTATAGATCGTAAATACTTGGATGAGGTTTTAGTGTGAGGAGAAAATATTGTGAATACAGTGCGCAGGCTGAGGAGATAGCTAGTCTGGTGTAGTCGTTTTGTTTTGTTTCTGCACTAGTAGTCCTATATGCAGTGACGCTTGGGCTGCTGGACTGTTGGGTTACTTTCTTTCTTTTCTTTCCATGACTGAACTCATTAGCCGCTAAAAACCTTGTAAAAGCCAGATTTTAAAATTCACCTGGTGAAAACCTGCCATCTCTTGATTTGAAAGTTAAGTCATGACCTCTTTTAACTGGATAGTAATTATTAACTTTACAAATTGCTGATTTTTGAGGCTTACCAGAACTTTGATTTAAGTTCCTTTATAATTAATAACACTGGAAGTATTTCCGTTATAAATCATTTTTAGTGAAAGTCCTGAGAGAAAAAGCAAACAAGAGAAGACCTTTACTGTCTTTGCCTGATTGCCTTATGGTATTTTATTATATATTTTAATTGACTACGTGTTTATTGATCCTGGCTGTGATATTAGGTATTAAAATTCTTAAAGGCTGACATAATTTTAAAGTGTCCGTTGCCCTGTGGACACAGAAAAATCAATATTTATTGCCTGAAAAATTGCCTTTCCTTTAAGTACAGCTTTGAAGAGACAAAAATATGAATTCTCCAAGAAAGGCCAATGAGCAAAGCAAAGTGGTGGGACAAGATTGGCTGCTAGGGTACAGGGCAAGGTAAAAGTTGCAGGGCTTACTTCATTGGATTTAAAATTTTTGTAAAACACTGTGGCATTCAAATAAAAAATCTTTGTAGTCTGTGACTTTCTAATCCTGATTTCTGTTCATTCAGCAGTATTTCTATGTAATACATTTGTCATTATTGTGTTTCTCTACCACCACATTTCTAGGCACCACATTGTAATTTTATGGTTTTAAAAAAAAGGAACAAATGAAATGAAAGCTTACACTCATTCCGGGTCTCTTTTCGTGGCTGATCGCTGTCCTCGTGGTCCTAAGGCAGCATGGGAAGAGGGTGAAGGGTCAACACTGTGTGTCTTCGTGGCTACACCAAATCACCTGGCCACAGCCTGACTCAGGTCACTGAGGTCTAAGTCATCCACCCAGCCCTAGCCCAGCATGTGCAAGGCCCTGGGGACTGGGGATTCAGTCCGTAAAACCTGGAAAGGAAGGGAGAAAAACCTTCAGTGATCTGGCATTGTATGATTTTGAGAAAATTCAGATTTCTCAACTTTAGTAAAATTTTATCCCCGTAGTTAGCTTTATAGATATGAAAACAGCAGTGTGTGACTTCCTGATTACTACACTGTGCTTTCATTTATTTTCTCTTTGCAGCCTGAGGAAGAACTTGATCCTGAAGAGAGGGACAACTTCCTCCAACAGCTTTATAAGTTTATGGAAGACAGAGGTATTTTCAAGCTCATTTTTTTGCAGTCTTTCAGTCTGGCTGTATGCATTATTATTAATATTGTGGGTATATCGTGTTTCAGTTAAAGCCTAAGGGTCAGTTCCATCTGATAATTGTTAGGTATTTAGAATACAAATAAACTTAATGTCTATTTTGAGTACAGATATAGATGAAAACAGTTTTGGTGTAAGGAAACTTAGTCTCCCTGGAACTTACAAAACCAAAAAATAATATTCAGAAATAGAAAATGGCCAGTTATAATGTTAATCTGAATGCGCACTTATTACTAAATATTTATGGCAAGTAAACTAGCCCAGTTGTTGGTCTCAACAAATTAAACGTAACGGGAGATCAGTCTCTTTCTAAATAGGATAGGATTTCTACCGTGGTAGAAGAAATAGAACCATTATAAATTATCAGACTCTTTGACATTCATTAGTCCTAGAAAACCTTTGGATAAATTGGTTCTAGACATTCTGTGGCTATCAGAAATCATCCTTCAGATTACTGCCAGCAGCTCTAGCATTTATATTAAAGTAATGAGAATGAACCACATTCTAAAACTTAGAATTATGTATTCAAAAACTGTACATGTTTGTGACTAAGTGAGCCAGCAGCATTCTGGGCCACAGCTTGTAGTCTAAGGCTTCAGTTCTACCTACTCTGCTGGCAGTGATTTTATTACAGTACCGAGACAGGCCCATACATAAAGCTGCATAATGACTATAGAGAATATTTATGTTCTCTTACATCATTAAGTGTTCTTCAGATATGTGCCTCCAATTAAAGAAATATGGAGAACTAGAAGTTGATAGCTTTCTTTTGAATTTGGGTTTTCAGTATGAATAAACATTTTATTTTTACCCTCTGGTATTATAAAGGTACTCCAATCAACAAACCACCTGTTTTGGGCTATAAAGATCTCAATCTCTTCAAACTTTTTAGACTGGTCTACCATCAGGGTGGATGTGACAATGTAAGTATAACATTACTCTTTGAAAAATATATGTGATGAACAGTGAACCTGCTCATCAAATTTTGCAGTGTTACATGCACCTTAATTAATAATACATTTTGTTAAAGAACATAGAATGTTTGTGTGGAAATTTTCCCTTTGCAAATGTTAACAAACAGAAACTTAATTTTCCAGATCGATAGTGGTGCTGTATGGAAGCAAATTTATATGGACCTTGGCATTCCTATTTTGAATTCAGCTGCTTCTTACAATGTAAAAACTGCTTATAGAAAGTAAGTGATATAATTCATTAAAGAATACATATTTGCAGGAAATATTTTCCTTTTGATGTGTAAAAATGAAACAGGTGTATTAGTCAGCTGTCCCATTGCTGGGGCAAATACCTGATATGGGCTGGATCCAAGGGTGGAAAGGCATGGCAGAGAAAAGCTGCTTACCTTATGGTACCTGGGAAGCAGAGAGGAAAGGCCAGGGATCAGATAGTCCCCAAAGTCACACCACCATGACCCACTTCCTCCAGCCAGCCGCCAGCTGCAGATAGCCCATTTAGCTACAAGGTAGCCCATCGATGAGGTTAGTGCATTCACACTCTGCTCACCTCTGTAGGAGTTTCTCAATCCAGTCGACAGTAGGGATTAATTGACACAAGAAGTATGCATCAACTAAGACACACAAATGTTAGAGAAGGTATATAGAAAGGCATAGGAAAATCAGGATGTAGGCATTATTCACAGCCCGAAATTATTAACATCAATGGGTCTGCTTTGGGGCAAACAACTTTCAAGTCGAAATTGTGATAGCTGTGTTTTGCTTTCAAGAGCTTAAGTTTCTCAAGAAGTCATTTTCATTTATGGTTGGTATTTCTCTTTACAGTTCTGTTGAGACACCCAGAACTTAGTAACATGGAAAAAGTACTTTTGAAGAAATGACCCAAAGTCTTAGCTTTTTGAGATCCTATGCATTCAGTAGTATAATACTCAAGTAAAATGGAAAGGCCAAGACTTACTAAAATGACGTGTCGTTTGTTTAGGTATCTCTATGGTTTTGAAGAGTACTGCCGCTCTGCTAATATTAGATTTAGAACCATTCATCACCATGAGCCAAAAGTAAAAGTGGAAAAAAAAGACTTAGACGAATCAATGGCAGAGGCTCTAACAGTAGATCCAGAAATGCCGTTAGTAGAAGTAAAGAGTGAGCTGGAGGAGAATACTGATTCAAACAGTGAGAGTGAAAGAGAAGAGATCGAATTAAAATCTCCCAGGGTGAGTATAAAGGGTAGTTTTATCTGACTTATTTTAAGCACTATTTTTAAATTTTTATAATGGATGTCTTCAGACACAGAAGTGCTAGAGTGCACCTAGTTTATTTTACAGAACTTAGTTATGCTTCAGGCAGACTACAGCTTAGCTGTTTCTAAATATATCTCACATTATTCCCTGTATTCAAAGAGCCTTTGTCTTGTTTTCCCATGTCTGCTCATTCTTGTCTTTAGTCAGTCGCGAATATTCCCCTCCTTGAAGTCTTCTGCTTAAATGTCACCTCGTTAAATCTTTTCTTTGGTATCAGGAAATGAACTCAGGACCTCCCACGTGCCAGGCAGGCGCTGTGCTGCTGAGCTACATCCCCGGCCACTTCATTAAATCTCGCACTGGCCACCTAATCTGAAAGTGTAGCCTACTTCCTCTCTTGGGCATTCTCAGTCCTGCTAATGTGCCTCTTCTCTATACTTTGCTTATGTATTATTAGGTTTTTTTGGTCTTTTTTCCCCTCATTCTGTGCTTTATTATACTCTACAAGGGCAAGGATGTGTGTGTGTGTACGCACATGTGCGCGTGCATGCATCTACACGTGCATGTACACATGTTCAGTGCTAGGGATGGAACCCAAGATGTTCACGCTGAGCTAAAGCCCAGCTGCGACCCCCCTTTTTGCGACAGGTTTTCACTGAGTTGCCCCAGGTGGACTCAAACTTGCAACTGTCCTGCCTCAGCCTCCCAGAGTGCTGGAATTAAGTAGGATTACAGGCCTGCACCACCACGCCCAGCTCATGTGCTCTTTTTCATTGATAGATCCCAGGCACCTAGAGTAATGCCAAGCATATAACAAGTACTCATCAAAAGCTGTAGAATTAGTGCGTTTCCTCCATACAGTACCTGTGCTCCTGTCACTTGGCCCTGCCTTCCCTCTCCCTTCACAGCACCGTGGGCAGCTCTGTTCTTGTGCACACTGGCTTTGTCTTCCGACTCTTCTTCCCTTCAGTTAGCAAAAGATCTATGAAAAACTGTCATCCACAACCCTTCTCAGTGTTCAGGGATGGCTTCATAGTCAGATTTATCACAGAAGTTTGTTTCCTGTAAAATGTCTTACTTCTCAGTGAAGTCAAATTTAGTGGAAGAGGTGAAATTGCCTTTTCCTACAGTGGTCTAGAAGCTGTTTTCACACTGCAGGTTCTGATTGTCATCTTGTAAGTGGAAACCGCTAGTGAATGTCATGAAATGTCTAAACCAGTGTTTCTTGTTTTCCTTTCAACTTTAACTTTATTTTCTAAATTATGGTAAAGTGAACATAACATACAAGTTAGCATCTTTGCGCCTAACGCCATTGTGTTGGCACTGAGCATGGTGTGGCTGTCACCTCTCCAGTATCCAGCTCCAGGATGGTGTCACCTTGCAAAACTGAGCTCCGCTACCTGTTAAACAGCAGCTCTTTCTTCCTCCTTCCCTCAGCCCCTCACACCACCATTTTGTTTCTTGTATCCGTGAGTTTGATACTCTCGGCACATAAGTGGAAGTGCGCAATATTTATTATTTCACTCGGCATAATGTCTTCATGGTTCATCCATGTGGCAGCACGTGCCAGAATTTCCTTCCCTGTTAAAGATGAGTGCGCCGGGCATATAGCCCAGCAGCACAGCACCTGCCTGGCAAGCACAAGGTCCTGAGTTTGACTCCTGGTACCAAAAAAAAGAATGAATGATACTGTATGTCTTGTGGATGTACTTTCTTGTATTTTATAAAGACCTTTCTCATCCTGTGTAAGGTGTACAATGTACTGTCTAGTATGGATGAAACATAAATATATCTTCCCCAAGATTTACTCTCATTTTTTACTACTACAAAAAGTGCTGCTGCCAGGCATGGTGGCATATTCCTGTAATCCCAGCACTTGGGAGGCTGAGGCAGGAGGATCGCTGTGAGTTTAAGGCCAGCCTGGCCTACATGAGTGATTTCAAGGCCAGCCTGAACTATATAGCAAGACCCTATCCTTTAAAAAAAAAAAAAGTGCTGCAGTACACACACATGTAAAGAATATCCTCTTCATTTATCTGCATATGGAAACCATACTTTTGGAAATGGGATCTCTGGGAAGCACACAAAAGTTTGATAGGTACCAATTGTTTCCATTCGCTTACCTAGCACACGGATACTGGGCATTGCCTACATGGGAGGATTCTGCAGTGCAGCGTAGGTCCTTACATTCTGCAGAAGTAAATTTCTTCTTTTTTTGCCTTTGAGGTGTAAATAACACCTAGGAGCTAGCAAAGTTTGCTTGTTGGGTACCAGCTGTGAAGGGTTTGCTTGTTCCCTGTGTGGCCAGCTCTCCTCTTGCTGTGTCCCCTGGCGCCATCGTGCAGGGGCAGTCTGACAGGATGGAGAAAGCACCAAAGGTCCCCAGCTTTGTGGGCCACTGAGCACGGAGGAGGCTGGGCGGTGCCTGTTGTGTGTCTGTCCCTCCCCTCCGCCCCATCTCCACAGAGCCTCACTCAGATCTGCTCACTGTTTTGCTAAAATATGGTCATGCACAAATACAGTGACAGTGTAAAGTTTGTGTTAATAAATGGTAGAATTAGACCTCGTAGAGCTTTTAAAGAGGCGAGGACTTAGGGAGTTGATCTGATTACTGTTGTTAACCTTTTGTCGTTAGCATTTGGAGAATTCATTTGAAATTTTTACTGTAATCAAGAAATGTCAAAAATAGAATCAAATATAGTGAACAAAGAAGACTGATGGATAGATTGATTTGCTATATCCTCAGCCCCAGAGGAAACTTTTATTTTTTGTACACTTTGTAGCACAGGATCATGGTAGACCTGGACATAATTAATGATAGAGATAAATTCTTTCAAAAGGAAGAAAAACGTATTTGTGAACTGATTGGCTTTCAGGGTCTTATCTCAAACCAGAGACCAGACTGGACATTGCTGTAAAGGCTTAAGGAAAAATGTGTTTTTCTGGTTTTTTCTCCCTTGGCAGTAATGACTATTTTCAAATTTTTATCTTCTCTCTTAGGGCCGAAGGAGAATTGCTCGAGACGTAAATTCTATTAAAAAGGAATTTGAAGAAGAGAAAACAGAGGACAAATTAAAAGATAATGATACAGAAAATAAGGATGTAGATGATGACTATGAAACTGCAGAGAAAGAAGAAAACGGGCTAATACTGGGGAGAAAAAATACACCAAAGCCAAAAGAGAAGAAAGTCAAAAAGCAAGAGGGCTCCGACCGAGACTCAGAGGGCGAGGAAGAGAAGAGCCAAGAGAGGTACATTATCTTACGTTTGTTCCCCAGAAGCACCTGTCTCGGGTTCGACAGCGCTTCGCTCCTGCTAGAGATTCAGGGTTGAGGGAACGTTTTCTTATTGGGACTTCCGTTCCTCTTGTCTAATGAAGGTGAGACACATTGTGAAGATGATGTGTATTGCCTTCCGGAATTGGAGAATACCCGGTCGCACCATTTTAATAGCACTTGTGCCCTAAACAGTGGCCTCAAAGAAGGCTGCGCCACCCAGTCAAAAGAAAGGTCCTGCAGTTGACAGCAGGGAAGGGAGCTGGAGAAAAATGGAGGAAGTGGACAAGAGGAAACAGCGACAGCAAAAATTCCATTTTAAAAAAGGTACAATGTGGGAAAGCTAACAGACACGGGTGCACAGTACTAGCAGATGTTTCTGTGTGTTAGCTTTGATCTAAGACAGCTTTCTTTTTCAAGTTACTGTGTTAGAGTAAGTGGCATGCACCCCTGATTCGAGTTTGCAAAAGACGTTCTTGCCCCACATCTCATCAGTAAATTTCAGCTTTTTAATGTCCATCCTGTTTGCTGTTGAGTGAAAATGGTTTTTCCACATACTAGACACATATGGACTGAATTGACTTAAACGTAGCTCAAAGTCAGGCAGGCCAGCAGTGAAATGTCTGACCATGCTTGTTGGTGGCCATTCTGTAAATGTTGTCATCTACTAATTTTTAGGTAATACTGAGTCAAATATTAAATGAGGAATAACAATATAACACGCTGATTTGAAATATAAACTCTCCTTGTAGACACTTTGCATTTTATTATGTGAGTCTAAATTGTCTGGAAGTTGAATTGGGAAGCTGCCTTTGAGAAAGGTGAGCTGCTGAACTAGTGATTGAACTAGTGACATCGTCTGAGACCTAACCGAGAGGTATATAGAAATACTGGAGTAACTGGTGAGCAGGAGAGGCGATAAGATTTAGTGTGCACAGGTGCACCTCAGTGACGCGTGAAGCGCCTTGATAAGGAGATGAAAGTTGCGTAGCACAGTGTAACTAGGGTTAAAAGTGGGAGGCGGTAATTAGAGCCAAGCATTGTACACAATGAATCTGTACATGAGTAACATGTGGCCGTTAAAGGGCTTTATAACTGATGTGCAAAGGGAACAAAGATGTCCTTCGAAGAAAAATGCATAGACAAGTATGAAGAGAAATGTTTTGTTTTATTAAATCACAACTGTGTTTACAGGCAGCAAACACAGTCCATGTTCTTATTCCATAGCAGGAATCACAGATAAGGGGGAACTTCACTGAGATTCCTGTATCAAATAGTTTTTCTCATAATGTTTTGAAATTACCTCTCCAGGCAATTAATTGAAAGGTATACCGGGAGAGAATATATTCCCGTTGTCAATCGGCTGCCAGAGCTTCTTGGAGTTGTGTCCTGTAAAGGCACCAAATTAATGCTCTGTGTTTATTATAGAGCACAGTACCTTTTCGTAAGCTTCTAAAAGTTGTAATTCCAGTGCTCTGGGAGGCTGGAGCAGGAGGATCACAAGTTTGAGCCCAGCCTAGGCAACTTAGCAAGACCCGGTCTCAAAATAAAAAATTTGAAGAAAGGGATGGGGATTTGCTCAGTGTGAATGTCCAGGGGTTAAATCCTCACTGTCATGCAAAAAACCACCCAGCCAACCTCTTAGGATATTTGGGTGGTTTTTGATGCAGTTCGCTTCTAAATACCCCAGGGCTAGCAGAGAATCCCCCTCAACACAGACACTGGGATTGAACCCAGGGCCTTGGGCTGTTTGAGCAAGCTCTCCAGCACTGAATCACAACCCGAGCCCACCAGGAGAATGTTTTATGATGAAAATGTTAAAAATATTGTTGGACTTCTGTCTCTGAATCTCCTTTATATCTGATTGTCAAATCAAAGGTCTGATGGGAAGAGAGTGAAAAAATAGAAATCAACCCAAAACATGTACAGCTTTGTTCTCCTTGTGCTATTCAGTGACAACAAGGGTCTTCATATTTAAACATTTGTGGTTTCCATGTTAGTGTGGGTGAAACCTCTAAAATACAAGCTAGCCAAAGACATGATTATTAAAGTAGATAGCCCTTGTTCATTATTTCGAAGTAAAGCCACCAGGCCTGCTAAAGACTATTCTAAAATGTGCAGAATGTAATAATAAAACACATTTAAATTAATTTCATCGTAGGAAGTTGTGAAATACCTTTGTATCATTTTCACATACCAGGTGGCACTTCAGTATAAATCCAAAGACTTTTCAGAGCATATTGTTTCTATTTTACTGTATCAAAAGTGACTTGTTTGGCTCCATTCATCATTAAATGTGGTTATTGATTGGCTTTTAAGACTATGGATTTACTTTTGGTACAGTGCATAATAAATTCCTAAGGAGTCCATAAAAATCTTCTCCTTCTCCTCCTTCTTCTCCTCCTCCACTGACATGTTATTAAGGTAATGCTTAGGGCGTGAATACTCTGCACTTGGGGTTTTTTTTAGAATTTATCGTTTTGCTCTCCATTAAGTTATTAGTAGCATTATCAGTGTTATAACTTACTGCAGGGAAGAAACCGAGAGCAAGTGTGACTCTGAAGGGGAGGAAGACGAGGAAGACGCAGAACCCTGTCTAACAGGAACCAAGGTGAAAGTAAAATACGGACGAGGAAAAACTCAGAAAATTTACGAAGCCAGCATTAAAAGCACTGAAATTGATGATGGAGAAGTTTTATACTTGGTACATTACTATGGATGGAATGTCAGGTAAGCAAGGAAGTATTTCCTTAGTACTGAGACAGTGGCGTGTTTGAAAAAGATCACGTTAATGTTGCGAAGAGCTGAAGCAAATGGGGTGTGGGTGTGGCTGAGGGATTGACAGAGCACACCTAGATTCTGACTAGCCCAAGCCTTTGACGTTTGCACTGCTTTCCTCGCTGTGTTGGCTGCCAGAGCCTCCGCCAAAGAAGCTGGCTTTGTACTTGTCCACACGAGGCAGGTCAGGGTCCTATGAAGTCACAGGGTGAGGTCTGGGTGTCCGACCTGCAGCTCTGTTAGGCAGACTTCGTGTCACTTACCTGAAATCAAGCTGTGCCGAGCATTTGAATAATTCTGACTTGGTTCATTAATAAGAAGGCATGTCAGAGCATCAGTGTGAGCTGCGTCTGCCAGGGAACTTTGGGGTAGGTTGATGGAAATGAGGCTTTGATACTGGGTGCTGTCAGGAAGCCGGGCTAATTTTATGATTAGTTTTCTTAATAAATCTTCCCGGAAGGAGGAGAAAAACCTAGGTCAAAGTTAACTTTAACTAATGAAGAAGAAGCAGTGGGTCATTGGGAGGAAGAAGTCTCTTTTGTCATTTTGGTGGCTTGGACATGCTCCTGTTCTTCCCAGTGTTCAGACCTGATTAGGGAATAGTCCTTTTTTTTTCAGCAGTGCTGAGAAGTGAACCTGGGAGCACTCTAGTACTGAGCTCCCTCCCTAAGCCCTGTTTCCATTCTTGTTTTTTGTTGTTTATTTGTTTGTTTGTTTTTAGAGACAGGGTCCCACTGCATAGTTTAGGCTGGCCTTGACTTCACTTTGTAGCCCAGGCTGGCCAGTGATCCTCCCCCCCAAGGCTGGGATCACAGGCGTGTGCCATCACACCTGCCTTGTTCGGGGGTTTTATTAATCCTTCGTAGGCACAGGCACAGAACCAGCTTGTCTGATCTTATTGATGTTGTGTGAAATTGAAGAGCTCACAGTAGCACCAGTGCCCGGTGTCTTACTTACTTTCTCGTTGCTGGGACAAAATACCTGACTCCCACAAGTAAACGCGGGAGAGGTTTATTTTGTCTGTCAGTTTGTAGAGGTTTCAGCCCACAGTCAGCTGCCTTGGCAGAGGAGAGAGTTCAAGGGATGAAGAGGGAGACAGACCCTTCCAGGCCACACCCCCAGTGACCACCTCCTCCCACGGGGCTCTGCCTCCCCAATCACATTTAGCTCTGAACTTGTGAGGGTACCAATCCAGCACTGCACCCCCGATCCAGTCATCCGCCAAAACCCTGCGTGTGAGCACATGAGGCTTTGGGGGACATCTAGATATCAACTGTAACACCCAGCCTGTGCCCAGTCAATTCCTGGAAGTCAGGGGCTCCTTTTCTTTCCCCTTTAGAAAAGCGCATGTGTTAGGTTGAGATCTCAGCTTTCCCTGGCTCTCCCCGTTACTGCTCCAGGGTTTCTCCACAAACAAGAGGTGTGTTCCGTGATGCCTCAGTTTCCTCCTCACTGAAATGGGGAAAATAAAGTGCCTATTTAGGAGAAAGTTGGAAAATAAAAGTAATGCCTATGTGAGCTTGTAAAGCACTTGGAATACTCCCTGCCCTTAGTAGCGCAGTGACTGATAACTGCTTTATTTTGTTAGTGTTTTTTGATGTGGTATCATTTTAAAGGGTATGAACTTAGTGAATTGAATATACATTTTTAAAATTTGCTTTTCCCATGTACTGTTGAATTCAGGGAGAAAGGACCACTTGCCAGCTCTAGGTCACTGTCTTTGCTGCTGTAGCACTTCGTAGCTGCCCTCCCTTCTCAGATTTTACCCAGTGCTCTTACCATCTCTGTGTGTCTCAGTTCTGCTTGCTAGAATTTTCCCTTCCTGTCCTCCTTTCTCATCTTTTCTTTTTCTTGCTCGTCTTTTTCATTTTTTTGTGACTCTAATCTGTAGTCTGTTTATGATATGTTCGGGGTCTCCTTGTCCTCCTCATGAGGCACCTGCTGGTTTCTCGGACGCTTCCACGCGCCTGGAAGCCCATCTGATTCTGGCCTGCTTGTTGAGATACAGCACCTGTTGTTCCGAAGTGTGGAGTCAGGTTTCTAAAATGCCAGCATCACAAGTGTGAGGGTCATCCTGGTCTAGTTGAGAAGTCCCGGACTGCCATTGGCACAAGCAGTAACCCATGACTTGGACTGGGCCAGCGTGGTCTGGACTGAGTTACCCAAGATCAATCCTAGGCTTAGGAGATTTTGGAATTGGACAGTTAACTCTTTGTTACTCCTGGGTCAGTGTATCGCTCTTACCACGTTTACCAGACTGTACTTGATTTTCTTACGTGTTTGTTTTTCATATGAGACCACATTGCATGAGAGCCAGGCCTTGTTCTGTGTGCACTCTACTCTTCTTGCAGCGTCTGGCATGTTGTAGGCCCTTGCAAACGCCAAGTGATGACTCTTTCCAAATAAAGTACAGACAGATACCTAAGTCTCTCCAGGGCTTACAGCCAGTCCTGTTTCAAAAGCTTTACATATTAAAACAAGGGGAAAAAAACCCTTTATATATTGGACTAATCCAGCAGGAGATCATTTTGAAACCATAGTGTGGATATCATGTACCAGCTCAGCTGAAGTGTGTATTAATTGAAACCGTGTCCTTACTTTGCACATTGCCATGGTATCTGGTTTGTAAAATGAAGGTATAGTTCCCAGACGTGAGTTTATTAGCATAGTACAGCTTAATGTGAAGACTGCCTGTAGTTTTATTACTTAAATCTTGAGGTCTTAGGTTTTGTTCAGATGCTATATATTCCCATACAAACACATATGTAAGAAACATGATTTAGAGCTGGGCTTAGTGGTGCATGCCTATAATTCCAGCACTTCAGTGGCTGAGGCAGGAGGATTGCTGGGAGTTTGAAGCCAGTCTGAGATAATAGTGAGACTCAGTTTCAAAAACCAAAAAAATGTGTTTTATTTCTTGATTTATTTGTCTGAGTCTAGTAACTTGGGCTGGGTAACTTGAAATTCCAAAGCAATGTCAGCCTTTTGGAAAAAGGTGCAGAGGAAATGAGTCTTCAACTTGAGTGAAACATAACAAACTTACATAAAGAAAATCATGTATCTCTTAAAAAGTTCGTAACCTGAAAGGTGACACCGTTGAGAACAAAATTTTTATTAAAAATACTGGAAGCTAGAGAGAATTCTTAGGAGGAGAAGAGAATTTACAAAGGATTTGATAAAATATTCTGAAACTGATCGTACCCCAGATTTGCATTTATCTAATTTGTCTTTGTATTACTCATTAATAGAACAAATACGAGTACAGAATCTGCTGATAATGTCAGATCTGTGGGAATTATGGAAAATAGAGAAATGCGAACTGCTTTGAATCTGCTTGGAGTTAGTTACCCACACCTCCCTCTGCACTTGTAAAATAGTCTGACCGCTCCCCATGGAGAGTAGACTCCCAGGTCCCAGGACAGCTGCCTCAAAGGTCACTGAGACACTAGCCCCACACCTTTCTCATTCCTGCCAGTACTGGATATGAACTCTTTAGCTGCTGTTTTTGTTTTGTTAGGGTATCACTGTGAAATGGTAAATTTTTGTTTTTAAGGTATGATGAGTGGGTGAAGGCTGACAGGATCATCTGGCCTTTGGACAAAGGTGGACCAAAGAAAAAACAAAAGAAGAAAGCTAAGGTATCTTTATAGATTCCTATTTTCTTTGCTGGGCATAGAGAGCAAAGAAGTCACCTCCACCAGAGCACTGCGTTTGTTAAGACAGTTGGTGACCTGCATGGTTACAGGGTTGCCATTGGCTGGTGTGTATACTAAAGGGGCCACACAGCTCCAGGAGAGCGGACAGATGTCCAGGGTCTGCATCCAGCATTCTGGTGTCCTGCGGTTAGTCCCAACGCGCCTAACACCCTGTGTTCGGCCAAGCCCCCTCCCTCACCCCGAACTTTGGCAGCCGCTGACACTTTACTGTCTCCAGAGTTCTGCCTTTTCCAGAACGTCATGTAGCCGCAGTCATGTAACACAGAGCTTTTCAAATTGATTTCTTTCATTGAGAAGTATGCTAAGGTGTTATTAATGAATCTGACATTCTCACTCTAATAATCATCTTGATGAGATAGTTTCTGTGTTATAACTCAGGCACTAATAAACTAAAAATGTTAAATACATCACCACATAGCTTGATGGAGAGGTGACAACCAGCAGTCGCCGTGGCCTGGGCTTCAAACTCAGGCCTGTGGGTCTCTCTTTATAGGAGAAGGGTAGAGTCAGGCTGACAGTGGCGCAGGAGCGGCGTCCTGTCCTCACTGGGGAGGTTGAAGGTGACTACCCTGATGTGAAGGTGCTGCCCCAAGGGTTGCCGAATAGGAGGATCGGGGGGAACCACCAGTTTTTCAAAAATGGGAACTCTCATTTTTAAATGTGGGGAGCAAATATAAAATTGTAAACACATGTGCTGGCAGTCGAACCCTTCCCCATACCCTCAGTCTTTAGCCTGGGTGCTGGAGACCTGCTCGTGTTTGTGTTCGACATCTTCCATGTCTGCAGCGGCTGGAAGGGCCCAGCCCTCGGACAGCGGGAGGTCGCTGCAGTGTCACTGGCTGTGTGACAGCAGCGTCCTATGCATAGGTCAGAAAAGGCTGCTTAATTTTTCTATAAGCACAAATTAGGAATCAACAAACAATGACTGACCTTCGTTTGTTTTGATAGTTTTCGTACAAGTAGAATGTTATCTTTAAGTGTTGACCCTTCTCACACATTTCTTCATTCCTCAGAACAAAGAAGATGGTGAGAAGGAAGACAAGCGGGAGGAGGACAGGCAGAAGACGAAGCGGGGCCGGCCTCCTTTAAGGTCTGCCCTCTCCTCCAGCTTGCCCTTCGGGTTATCTAGGACGGCAAACAGTGACGGAAAATCAGGTACTGTTCTGCGACTCACTTCTGTCCGTTAGAATGGGAGGTGCTCGCTTTCGAGGGTCACCAAATATTTTAAAAATCAGAACTATTTCTATAATCACACCTCATTTAGCAGCGGGGATACATTTCTGAGAAAGATCCCTGTGCAGACATCATGGCGTGTCTTCCCACGAAGTATGAGGCCACGATGCCACGAGGTGATGGGCCTGCCAGGCCACTACCGTGCCTGCCGTCTCGGACCAGAGCATTGTTTTGTGGTACCTGGCCATAAAACTGCTGTTGTGTGAAAGCTTCTCAGTTCATCACCCAGGTTTCATCTCATATGATTTAAACTACAAAATTTAATTGGAAGCTAAAGCTTATTTTGCTGTATTTTTAATTTAAAATTTAGGAATATCTTCATCTTGGAATACCTTTTCTTGTAAACGTCTTAGAAATACATTTTAGCTGGGGATATAGCTCAGCGGCACAAGCGCCTGCCTGGCGAGCGTAAGGTCCTGAGTTCGATTCCTGGTACCAAAAAAAAATTCTGTTTTAATGAGGGCGAATTGCTCCTCATGCTCCCTACCCCATGCTGTTTTCCTTTGAGGCACACCGCATTGTCTCCTGTATGTTTAGAGCTCTTCACTGCAGAGCTAACAACCAAATGTGGAGCATAAGCATGTTTTGTGGTAAGTATAGATGAAAATATTTCATTCTGCTTTTATTCTTTTCTGGCGTTTCATTTAAGACATTCTTAGTGGTTGTCTTACTCAGCATCCCCTTCCTCAAAAGAAATGCTGTTCTGAATCACGGGATTGCCAGTAGTCCATCTCCCCTTAGTGCTATGGGGGAGTGGCCAGCAGGCGTCTTTTCTCTTTACTGCCATCTACTGGAGTGTGGTCGTAGTACACAGGTGCACAGATGTCCCAAGGTGAAAGGTACTCAGGTGGCTTGTTCTCGTGCAGTGTACAACCTGCACGAGTAAACATAGCAGCCTTACTAAAACTACTTAATGGTAGAAGTATATTTTAAACATGAGAAAAATGAATTTGTGTATAACGGCACCGCAAAATAAAAATGTATTTACCTTATCACTTGAAAAATTATTCACTGTTTGCCTTTTTGAACTTTAGTATATGAGTATGATAACGGGCAGAATGTTTATATTTCACAGTTCATTATGTAGTCTTGGAATTCAACTTTATTATGTAAAGAATTGTTTGACATAAAGGCAAGAATATCTTTTGAAAGCAGGTGGCTTGCCTGTACTTTCGTGTCCATTACTAAGAAGAATATGAAAATTTTGAGAATTCACATGGCTCATTTTAAATGTCTCTTTTCAGAATTAAGTGAAATACCATATTCCTGTCTTAGGACACAAAGTGACCATCATACATATGAATCAGTTTCTGCTAGATCCTAGGTCACACCATTTAATATACTCATATTTTACTGCTAGTCCTTCAATTTTTTTTCTTTTATGTGCTACACTGTGGTCTAAGTAGTACTAGTGAAGATTGCAAAGTAGCCACTTACACAGAATTGAATATTCTATGTAATGTATTTTCACACATTTTACTTTGAAATTCCCTCCCCCTAAATTTTTGGTGGAAATGTCATGATTTATTTGATATATGAAATTTGTATAGAGAGTATTCTTCATTTTTATTTTTTTGAGACAAGGTCTTACTATGTAGTGCAGGTTGAATTCACTGCATTCCTCCTGCCTCAGCCTCCTGCGTGCTAGGATTACAGGTATGTGCCACCACACCCAGCCTGTACAGGAAATATTCAGGCACATAATTAAAAGAGATTTTTATTATATCATATAGCAACATTATTAAAATATCATAAGGTTTTGTTGTAGAATGAATTGTGACAGTAAAAACCTGAATAGCACAGTATTTCCTCTTGCAGACTCTTGTTCATCTGATAGTGAAACAGAAGACCCTTTAGAGAAGAGTTTGATCAGTGAAGAACTGTTTCCTGATTCTAAAGAAGAACTAGAAAAAGCTGACACTGTAAATGATGACACGCTCGACGAGGAGACCGCGAAGATGGCTGCACATGCGCTCCGGGAGCCAGACAGGACGCCTGGGCCGCGGCCAGAATCCCTGCAGCCCGAGGCCGGCGAGGATGAGCAGGTGGCCCAGCTTTTCGGAAGCAAAGTGGAGCAGAGTGAGGACGTCAAGAAGGACCCAGAGAAGTCGCCAAAGGGCAAGGGAAGGCGAAGCAAGACAAAAGAGATCTCCTTAGAAATCCTGAAGCTGGCGTCCTTTGGCCCAGGGGAGGCCGGGAGTGAGGCTCCGGGGGAAGGCCCGGCGCCCGACCTTTCCTCACTGGACAGCAAGAGCTCGGCTCCCGCGGTCGAGGATGAAGTCGACCCATACGGGAAGGACAGAAGGTTGAAGCGGAAACTGCCCGGGCAGCCGTCCCCGGAGAAGAAAGCCAGAATGGAGAACGGGCTGGGCGCGGCCGGCAGCGCTGCGCAGGAGCGCACGGGGGCCGGGGACAGCGAGGCCCCGGGGAGCCCAGAGCACACGGGGGTCCCCCCTGCCCGCTGCCCCTGCGTGCAGGACGCGGCTGCGGGTGTCGCGCCGCTGCGGGACGAGGATGACGCCCTGCCGCTGATCGGGCCCGAGACCCTGGTGTGCCACGAGGTGGACCTGGACGACCTGGACGACAGGGACAGGACCAGCGTGGAGGAGACTGGCTCCCCGGGCCCCGGGCCACCCGGGCTCCCCGCGGCCGCCTCCCCGCTTGCCCTCAGCCAGGACGGGTCCCGGAGCGAGAGCGACACCACGGTCGAGGTGGACGGCGTGGCCCTGGAGGTGGACAGCGTGGCCGAGGAGCCGCAGGAGGGCCTCTGCGAGCCGGAGCCGGGGGCGGCCGGTGGGCTGGACGTGGGCCCCACCGCTTGCAGCGAACCCGCGCCGGACCGGGAGGGCAGAGAGAAGGGTGAGGCTCCGCGGGTCGCACGGTAAACCATGCCTGGCTTTAAAAGCCCCGAGTACCGCCCTGCAGGGTGGTGCCTATAGAAAGCAGTGCGTTTCAGGCAGTAACTACCCTCTGCTCTTCTTGTTCCTTTTCCTTCAAATTCTCTTTCCCCTCATTTCAGGTCAGAAAAGACCAAGTGATGGAAATAGTGGATTAATGGCAAAAAAACAAAAGCGTACCCCAAAACGAACAAGTGCCGTAGCCAAAAATGAAAAGAACGGAGCAGGTTGGTGCCTCCATGCCGGCAGATGTGCAGCGGTAGTCATTTCTGCAGTTGGTTGGGTTGATCATCGGTGTCAGTTTAAAAACGTAGTTGGTTTATTATTTTATAAAAATAGTCACTTTCTGTTAACTTCTTTAAATTTTTAAAAATTTTTTATGTTTTTAGTTTTTTGAGATAAGGCTTCACTGTGTAGTTCAGGATGGTCTTGAACTCGTAGTGATCTTCCTGCCTCAGCCTCCTGAGTACTGGGACTACAGGTGCTACCATGGAGTCTTAAGAGAAGTGCCCAAAATAGTACATGATTCTTACCTGGCTCCTGTTGCTATAAAGTGTGTGGTTGGGTCGTGTGGGGCTCTGATGATTCCATGGGAGAAGTACATCCATGATAATTTCCTGGTGTGGATGGCCGCATGGTTCTGTTACATTGATGGTGGTTGTAAGAACATATCCACAAATTCAGAGATCATTTTCCTGTCAAGAAATGAAGACTGATTTGCCTCCCTTTGAGTGTGGGATGGTGTTAGTGACCCACTTCTAACAGTAGGAGTGAGGTTGCCTTCAGAGGCTGGGTCACAATAAGCATCTCTGAGTTCTTGCTCGGGTCACTTCCTCTGGGGCAGGCTGGCTGCGTGTCATGAGGCCATTCAAACAGCCTAGGAAAAGCCCAGGCAGCAAGAAGTTGGAGGAGCAGCCGCGGCACCCTGGAGCGCGTCCTCCAGCCAGGTCGGAGTCCTGGCTCAGAGCTCAGGTGCAGTGAGAGGTTCCTAGGTCTGGTTCCACAGCCAAGCTGGTCCCCAGTGCAGAGCCTCAGATGCCCCAAGATGTTTGCTTAAACACTTGTGGTTTTTAAACTTAAGGTTTGGGGCTAAGGTATAACACTCAGGAGGTAACTGGCCCCCAGAGAAATCACACACAGAAGCACTCGAGTGGCAAGACAACTTACTGTCTAGTAGGTTAGATACAGTTTTTTGATGTTGATTGTATAATTTTTTTTGTAAATTCAAAATTATTTCAAATACAAAGTTTAAAAGATTTTAAAAGGAGGGAAAGAAGGACATGATCAATTCCACTGTTGAGAAAGAATCTTTGGCTTCACGAAAGCAGTGAAAGGAAAATTAAAGAGATCTGGGAAATCGCTGGGATTCACTTACGAATGAGAAGAAAAAGGAGCAGAAGTAGAATTATATAGGATAGCCTGGCATAGGTGAGTAGAAATGGATCAGAGAGAAGCATCAGTAAACCCTAGTGAGGTCAAATAAATTCCAGATGCTTTTTGGCCAGTAGTGTTTGGGACCCTTAAGAGCACAGAGGTGAGGTTAGAAGGTGTGGAGGTCGGGATAGCAAAGAGCTTTTCTTTCAGGAAGTGTGACCCTGGTGAAAGGGAAGGAAGTGTGCACTAAAGGAAGCTCCTCTCCTTCCTCCTCTCGGTAAGGCTAGGCAGGATCCAGGCATGCGAGTAGACTCCGGGAAAGGAAGAATTTGAAGAGAAAGAGACATAGGTGGTTGATGTAGGGGCATTCTAGAGGAGCTGGAGTAGCTAGTGCTAAGCGTAAGTGCAGAGATTATTTCCTCCAGTAAGGACTTACCTTTTTCAGACAAAAAACAAACAAACAAAAAAAAACCCAAACCACTAAGGACAGATACAGATGGGAAGGCAGCCGGGGAACTGAGTGTTCAGTTTCAGCTTTGCTTTTTTGGTAGAAAGCAAGGGTGGTTTTTGGCTTTTGAAAATGAATACAGGAGGGGCTGGGGATTTAGCTCAGCGGCAAAGCGCCTGCCTGGCAAGCGCAAGGTCGTGAGTTTGGTTCCCGGTACCGGAGAAAAACCAAAAAAAAAAAAAAGAAAATGAATACAGGGTGTAGAGTTTGGGAAAAAAAAAAAAGCAAGTTGAGTGTTCCAGCATGTTATTATGGAAAACCAAAACATCCTCTAGGATACATTGATGAAAATGAAGGCAGACTTGCAAATAAATACCTTCTCACATTTTACTCTGTATACTTTAAAAGTTGAGTATGTATCTTTGAGATCTTTTTTGTGCTTTATACATAGTTTGAGTTGGTCCTAGCTTTGCGCAGTGGCAGTATCGTAGCCAGTGAGGTTTATCCGAGGCGCGATTATTGCTAATTGAAAACTTTGAGTTGGTCCTCTTTGGAATTCGTTTTACATTTTGCTTTCATATAAATGGAATGGTACTATATTGTTTTATGACCTTTCTTTTCCATTTAACAATGTAAGATAGTGGGCCATTTTTTTTCTAATGAAGCTCTAATGAGCTCATTCTTTTTAACAACTTCAGCAAAGCGTTCAGTAATATATAATTTTAGTCATTTTTATACTGTTTGCATTATTTCTTTTTTTGTTGTTTTAACTGTTATAAACTTTGTGTGTTTGTACTTTTTTTTCCTGATGCCAAGAAGTGGAATGGGAGGTCTCTTGGTATCTTTGGGTTTCTGAGCTGTGGTCTCTAAGTGAACTTCCCTTGTCCCTGGCACAGGGCAGAGCAGCGATAGTGAGGACCTCCCTGCCATGGACACCTCTAGTAAATGTACTCCAGTAAAGCATCTTAGTGCCCCGAAGCCACCAAAGCTTGCGCGCTCTCCTGCCAGGATCTCTCCTCACATCAGAGATGGCGAGAAGGAGAAGCAGAGAGAAAGGCATCCCAATTCCTCCCCGCGGACATATAAGTGGAGCCTTCAACTCAGTAAGAAGCTCGTAGATAACCTGAGAGTATATCGAAAGGTGGAATCTATAAAGTGTCAGGCTTGGCTTGATGTTTATAAAATAAGGAGTGGTGAATTAGCAAGAAGAATATATGAATTTTATAAAGCAGTGAAACTGCAGTGCCCTTTATATATAATACTTTATGTTGACGTTTTCTTACGTTTTTATGATCACTTAAGTATCACATGTTTAATATAGAAAATCTGGATTATATAAATAACTGAATAATGAATTTAAATCAGGGCCAGGGGTATAGCTCAGTGGCATAAGCTCCTGCCTGGCAAGCACAAGGTCCTGAGTTCGATTCCCAATACCAAAAAAAAAAAAAAGGCCAGGGAAATAGCTCAGCAGGACAAGTGCCTGCCTGGCAAGCACAAGGTCCTGAGTTTGATTTCCGGTACAAAAAAAAAAGAATTTAAGTCATGTCGTTCCAGTCTAAAGAGCTTCATTTAGCTGAATATGATAGGTCTTAATAAACAAGAGCATTTGTTAATTTTTAAAAGAACTGTCATTTTTTTCCCCCCACAGAATTACTTTAAAATCTCAGTTAACTTTTTTTCCCTTTTAGGTGAATTAGATAACATGAACAGTACAGAAAGAATCTCTTTTCTCCAAGAAAAACTACAGGAAATCAGAAAATACTACATGTCTTTGAAGTCTGAAGTTGCAACCATAGACAGGAGGAGAAAAAGATTAAAAAAGAAAGACAGAGAAGGTAATTTTATCAAACTTCCCCCCATTTTTCCAGTCTCTGTCTTCTCATTTCTGAAGATTGCTCACTGTGCGTGTAGAACACATCCATGAGTATTTCCTTTTCTGCTGCTGTTACCGCAGTGCGCCCTTGGGACGGCAGCATACCGTTTTGCAGTGGAGACGGTCATGCTGCGTGTGCGGGTTCTCTAGAAGAGTTTACCTGTGGCAGCTGTGCGACCACAGGCGCCCGTCTGTTGTCACAAGGTTTGCCAGATGGAGTAAGGCATAAGGCTTGCTCTCGAGGTACTCTTGTGGGGCCGCAAGTCACCTGCGGAGCAGCCCACAGCACTGTGACACGGCTCGACTGCATGGATTGGACAGACATGCTGCACACCCTGGCAGGTGATACAGGTACAAGACAGTTAGGTGGGACCATGCGGGACAAAGCGTGTCTTCCGGGGGTGCTCGCCAATCTAGCAGTCGGTGGGAGAGGTGACCTTGGAGAGATCACATAGAGAGCAGTGTCTGAGTAAGACCTTAAAACGTATGTGGTGACTTAGTTACACACACATTTATCCCGCTAAACCCCCATGCTGCACTGAAGTACCAGTAAAGGGAATTAAAAGCCCCATAGGCCAGACGCACCAGGGATCAAATTAAAGCAAGGAAGAGTTAGTTATTACACACCAGTAGAATTGCAGGAAAAACAGTGCCAGTTGCTAAAGAAAATATAAGGAAAGGGAATTTATGTATTCGTTGTGGCAGAACAAACGGTACAACTACTTGAGTAGTACTGTACCTTCCAAAGCTGGAAATGCGCGTAGCACATTAATTCTATTTCTTTCCTTTCCTTTTGATACCAGGTATGGAACTCAGGGCCTCACAGTTGAGAGGCAGGCATTGCACTGCTGAGCTACATCCCTGGCCCTATATTTCTAGATGTATTTGTGGAGGTTTTTTTGAAACAGAGTCTTGCTATATAGTTCATACTGGCCTTAAACGCACTGGGTATGGGGCTGGGGTTTTAGCTCAGCGGCAAAAGTGCCTGCCTGGCAAGCACAAGGTCGTGAGTTCGGTTCCCGGTACTGGAGAAAAACCAAAACCAAAAAAACAAAACAAAACAAAGAATGTGTGACATACTGGGGCTGGGGATTTAGCTCAGTGGCAAAAGTGCCTGCCTGGCAAGCGCAAGGTCGTGAATTCGGTTCCTGGTACCGGAGAAAAACCAAAAAAAAAAAAAAAAAAAAGTCACTGGGTAGCTCAGGCTGGCCTTAAATTTGCAGTGATCCCCCTGACTCAGCCTCCTGAGCTTGGATTGTGGGCATGTACCACCATCCTCAGCTATAAGTGCATCTTTCGGGTCTAGAGAAATTCTTATACCTGTAGCCACGGAGAACTACATTGCTTTGAATTAAAGAAAAAATGGAAAATTACCTGAATAAGTATTCATAAGTAATGGGTGGATGACTAAATAGTGCTTTGTTTTGTTTGGTTTTTTAAACAAGAGAGCAGTGGTTTGTTCATTTAAAAAACATTATCCAAGCATGGTCTCTTGGCTACTCAGAGGACTAAGGCAAGAGGATGGCTAGTTCAAGGCCAGCCTGGGAAAATTGGTAGGACCCTGTCTCAAGGGTGTGTAGCCTGGATTTAACTCCCTCTTCTGGGGAGAAACAATGAAAACCATAAATACCCCCAAGGTGAACAGAATAAGATAGCTAACTGAAGCAGAGAAGAAATGTCAGCAGTTTATGGCGGGGCAGCTGAGCAGCTGACTACTGACGCCATCTAGCAAAGGAGACAGTGCTGAAACAGCTTATCTCTCCAGTGGGACGAACAGGAGCAGCCAGTTCAGAGCGCTTACCTTAGAAGCGCTCCGCCAGCAGGGAATGATGGGGCTGGAAATGGGACTGGTTGGAAGTGCAAGGAGGGATGGAACCCTCCCATCCCACCTTGTAAGTCAAGGTTCCATCTCTCCCCAGTCCAGCAGGAAACAGCAGGTTTACCTCACAAAGGAGCGGGGGCCAGGGGACTTGGAGACGCAGGGGGGTGAGCCACAGCTGAAGGCGAGGTTGGGCGTTAACTGGAAGTAGTAGGTGGAGTACAGATTGAATGAATAAGACTCCTGGCCCTCTTCTGACCCGAGATCGAATCCTCTCGGCTCCCTGAAAGTTGCAGCCAAGTTTATTCTCTTTCCTGAGAGTATCTGAGGATTCTTTTCAGGGTGTTGCTCCCCGAAGAAAGACTTACCTAAGGCAGATGGACGCTCCTGAACCAGAAGGGGAGGTCCTTGCTGGTCACAACATGTGTGTGGCCACACTGCAAAGCCCCAAGGCCCAGATAGGGCTTCCAGTCAGCCTGCTCATTCCCTCTCTGAGTGTGGAAGCTGTGTGGCCAGATACTTGAGAAAAGCCTCTAAACAAAGACAGAAGACAATAGAAAAAGAGAATAAAAAGAAATGTGGAAAAAACAATGTACCATAATTTTTTCGAAAGCACAAAAGTTTGATCCTGTTTTAAAAAAATCAATAAAAAGAATCTCTTAAAAATATGACAGTGGAAATGTTTCTAAAAATTATGCCAGGGATATAGCTCAACGGCATAAGTGCTTGTCTGGCAAGCCTGAGGTCATAAGTTCGATTCCTGGTACCCCCCCCAAAAAAAAAAAAAAATTAATAGAAGCGATAGCCACAAAGCTGAAGAAATCCCTCTGGTTGGAAAGTCAGAAGCACAGTGGGTAGGAGTGAGGAAGTAGGAGGGCAGGGTCTGATGAGATCCAACTTCTGGATCATGCAATTTCTAGAAAGAGCACTGAACAAACTTGGGATGAAGTTTCCATCAAAGAAGTAGTATTCTAAAATCCCACAACTGAAGGACGTGATTAGAAGACTGGAAATCTTCATGTGCCTTCGTAAAGAATGAGGAGGAAATCAGGCTGAAGTGCATGGTGAAATTTTAGAAGTCCACAGCAAAGAGAAGATTGCAAACGTTGATCACATGTAAAATACTTGCAAAAGAAATGGGTCTCTGAACAGCAACCAGTTTCTTTTCTCTTTGCTATTTTTTTGGCAGTTCTGGGAGTTAAATCCAGGGCCTTTGCATTGTGCTACATCCCCAGCCTTTTTTTTTTAAATTTTGAAATGGGGTCGTACTAAACCTGCCCAGGCTGGGCTCAGAGGTTTGATCTTCTGCTTCAGCCTTCCGGAGCACTGGGAGCACAGGGGTGTGGGACGGCGCCCAGCCACATGCAGTTCCGTAGGTCAGACTTCTCAGTGGAAACTTGAAGGCATGTCAGGAAGACAACGTGAGGTCCAGCAAAAAGGAATTCCCACACAGGAAAACAGTAAAGCCTCATTTCATGGCAGTGGTGAGGGAAGCTAGAGTGATGGTTGCGTGGATGGTTGGGAAGTGATTGCAGCAGGAAGGGGTGGAGCGGGACATCCCAGGAGGATGTCAGTGAATGAATGAGTGAATATAAACGCCCTGTCTTTGTTGAGAGATGTAAGTGATGAATGACTGATACAGTAAGTTGTGTGTGCCCTTGAGTTCTCCAAGTGCAGCAGTTTGTAATTCTTGGAAATAGCGTAGAGCCGTGGAATGTCAGATTGTCTTTTTCTATTTTTATTTTTTAACTTTATTTTTTATTAGTGCATATTTGTCATGCATATTGATTATATTTATCACAGGGAATTTATACCTATTCGTACTGTTATCTTGATTCTTTTTTTCCCACTCCCCTCCACTCCCTCCTTTCAACCCTTCTTCCCCTGCCCATTTACAAAACTTCGTTTCCTTTTTTTGTTCTATCCTCCTTTTCCTTTTCCCTTCTTGCCCTTCCCCTCCTGTCCCCTTCCCATTTGAACGTATTCGTCCTACTTCCCAACATCTGTCCATTTACCCTTTGGGTTTCTCACACAAAAGAAGTTTCAGTATTTAAACTTGTCTGTCCAATTTATTTGACTTAAGATCACGGTCTTGAGGTGCCTCCTTTTACCTAAAAACGACGGTTTATCCTTCTTTTTGGCCGAGTAGTACTGTACTGTATATAAATACCACATTTTCTTTATCCATTCATCTGTAGATGGGCATCTGGACTGTTTCCAAGATTTAACTACTATAAATTGTGCAGCTATAAACATGGCTGTGCATGTATCACTGTGATTTGTTGCTTTTATCTCTTTCTGCAAGATACCAAGGAAGGGAACAGCTGGGTCAAAGGGAACCCTCTAGTTTCAGTTTTTTGAAGAATCTTCATACTGATTTCCAGAGTAGTTATACCAATTAACCTTTTTACCCGGCTGGAAATACAGCTCAGCGGCACAGCACCTGCCTGGCAAGCAGGAGGTCGTGAGTTCAATTCCCGGTACCACAAAAGAAAAACAACAACAAAAAACATTTTTACCAACAATGAGGAAGGGTTCCTTTCTCCTCACAGCTCCACCAGCATGTGTTACTGGTTGAGTTGTTGATAATAGCCATTCTTTTCTAGATGAGATAGAATCTCAGAGTTGTTTTCATTTGTATTTCTTGAATGACCAGTAATGTTGAGCATTTTTTCATATATTTATTTGCAGTTTGAACTTATCTGAGAAGTATCTATTCATTTCAAATTCCCAATTTTTGATTGGGTCTTTAAATTTGGGGGTAGGGCCTGGTTTTTATGAGTTCGTTATATATTCCAGATGCTAGTCCTTTGTCTGAGGAGAAGTCGCTAAAAATTTCTTCCTAATTTGTGGATCAGCTCTTCAGTGTTTCACCATGCAAAAGCTTTTTAAATTGATATGATCCTAGTTGTTCTTTGTAATTTTTCCTGTGTGATCAGGGTTTTGTTCATGCAGTCTTTGTCTATAACTGTGGTGTCTTCCAGAGTTTTACCTATTCTGTCTTCCAGCAGGCTAAGTGCTTCAGTTTTAATGTTCAGATCCTCGCTCCATTTAAGTTTTAGTTTAGTGCATGTAGAAGAGATACAGGTCTAGGTTCAATTTTTGGTGTGTGGAAATCCAGTTCTCCCAGCACCATTTTGTAA